CATTCCAGGTCTTCAGCTGCACCTTCGCCTGTAGCTGAGCTATGGGTAATCCCAGCTCCTTAGAAAAGGAGGAATTATGTGTAGTCATGGAATCACTTCAGAAAAACACACACCAAAATCATCCTGCAGTGCTCCTGACAGTCACATCAACCCACATCTCAGGCATCTCATCTTCCCCACACCTGAGATTCACTCAAAACACTTCCCTTCCTATTTTCCACAGCACAAGGAGAACAACTCCACCAGCAGGTGCAGGTAAAGTTTGGCTAGAAACACAGCTGGCAGGAAAACAGAACTCCATCATCTGCCCAACAACAGCACAAGGTCACTGCAAGATGAGGAAGAGGCACACTCTGATGTGGGAAAGCTTGTTCAGCTTTCCAGAGAAACACCGGAGAACAGACATGTCCTGATGGCAGGATGCCAGCAGGAAACATGTTCCCCAAAGGTGCTAAAAACTTGTTTCCCCCCCTCACATCAATTGCACAAGACCTTGGGGGAGCTGCTCACACAGTTTCAGGCTGCCCTGGGTGGGGGTTGAGAGTAATTCATAAATCTCTGCCTGAGCTATGCAAGATCAACCTCCCTGCAGCATTTCTGGCAGTGCTCTCCTGTCACACTCCTAAATCTTGGAAACAGGTCGCCAGTCACAGGTCAGGAGGAAGAGATGCTCCTATGATGTGTAATACAGGCTTTGCTACATTCTCTTGCTCTGTCATGACTGCTGGCAACTGTGTTTCAAAATGCTGAACAAGCCACAGCAAGTTTGAAGAAAATAGAAGCCTAAGAGGGTATTTTCCCATCAGTGTCAAACAGGTTCAATAGGAATGAGCCAGGAACTTCAAAAAAGACATGGAGAAAGGTCTGTGGAGTACCAGTACCATAAAGGAGCTGTGACTGGATAAGGAGTGATGGTTTTAACCTGCCAGAGGATAGGGTTGGATGGGATATTGGGAAGAAATTCTTCCCTGTGAGGGTGCTGAGCCACTAGCACAGGTCACCCAGAGCAGCTGTGGCTCCTTCATCCTTGAGAGTGTTCAAAGCCAGGATGGACAGGACTTGGAGCAACCTGGGCTAGTGCAAAGTGTCCCCATGGCAGAGAGGTGGAACGAGCTGAGCTTTAGGGTCCCTTCCAAACCTTTCTGTGATTCCACAGACAGGACACACATACCTTGGGGCAGGTCCTTGTGCAATTCATGATGGTGTGACAGCGGTAGAGAGAAAAGGGATCCTGCAGCTGGGCCAGACGCTCCTCTGTGTAGTCATCCCTGGAGTCGATCATCCAGCGATAGGCCTGGAAGTCATGACATGTCACACACCCCAAAACCTTCACGGTGCTGTCACCAGCATGAGGTTCCAAAAAACAACACCTAACTCAAGAATTCTGGGCCAGGATGTGTAATACTAGCCACAAATATTTGTGCTGAGCAGTGCCAGGTGACGAGGGGACACATCCTTACCTGCATCAGGACTGCAGGGCCCAGGTACTTGTCCCCATTCCACCAGTAACTGGGACAGCTGGTGCTGCAGCAGGCACACAGGATGCACTCGTAGAGCCCGTCCTGCATGGTGGGGGGGAGACCACAGGCAAGTCACTGCACAAACTCATGACAAAGCTTTTTCTTTTTTTTTTTTTTCCAGAGGGGATTTACAGCACCGTGTGCTTCCCTCAGCGTTTTCCCCTCTAGTGACTTGCCACAACAGAGTGGCCCCAAAAACCTTATGTTGAGGAAGTGCTGCTGGAGGAGAGCAATTCCTTCATGCAGGCCTGGAACAAGTCACATGCAATCCTTCCAGCTCCACCCAAGACCCCCAACTCAGGGCCAGGAGTTGGACCACCATGATCCCTGTGGGTTCCTTCCAGCTCGGGGCACTCCATGGTTCTATAACCCATCTAACAAACCAGGGTTTGTGGCAACAGGGAGAAGCATGAGCTGAAGAAAAATGTGACAGCTGTTTGATTTTCCTGCATTCCTTCCTTCTTTCAGCCTATCCCAGGGAGGGAAAGAACAGATATGTCACCAATTAACAGTTCAAGGCTGTGTTGCAGTAGAGAAGAAAGAGCAAAGTCTGCCCAACAGCCTGAGGGAGAGCTCAGGGTTTAGCAAGTGCTTGAGGACATCCCCAGGCACTCACTGAACAGCAACAGTGCCAGGATTGAGCCATATCACATTTGTATAAAGTCTTTTTCTTTCAGGCACAAAGTTAGTCCTCCATGGAAGTGACATGGGCAGAAGACAAACTCTGAGGAGCAGAGGATCTCCCAAGTCTCCCAGTAGCTCAACCAACTCCTCAGGCTAAAGGACAGTATAACTCAACTTAATTTATGTATCTGAAAGTTGTCTGGGGACAAAAAGTCTCATTAAATTTAGTTTGCAAAGATACCTGATGCCAGAACTCCTGCAAGTTTGTTAACAACCCTTTCAGAAAGACTTAGCAAAGCTACACAGAGTAACCTTCTCACTCTAAATGTCTTATTTTTAACTACCATGTCAAATGATTCATTTAAAGAAAAAGGTTGGAAGTTCCCAAGTTTCTCCTGTACACAGGCTGTTCTCAAAGGAACAGAAACTTCAGCAATGAGTTCAATCGAATGAAGATTATCAGCTGTGCCAAAGATTGAGGCAACACTGCTGCTTTTAGGCTTCCTTATTTCATAGGATCATAGTATGTTAAGGGGTTGGAATGAAGCTTGGAGATCATCCAGTGCCAACCCCCTGCCCTGGGCAGGGACACCTCCCACCAGAGCAGGATGCTCAAGGCTTTAGCCAAACTGAACACTGCTTTATACTGGAAATTTCTACTGGAATGAGAAAATTATCTCAAGGGAAGGGCATGTCCCTTTAGTCATTACACATGGATCAGATAATGCTGGGAAGTGATGCAGGAGAACTGTTGCCCTTGGATAGAGATTCCTTCAGCCTGTACAACCCTGTGGTTGTTCAGATGTCACAGGCACATGGTGCTCCTGACATCTGGGGCACACCACTGGGCTATTATGGGGTGTCAGCTCCATTGAGTGGGATACTTCCAAATATCTCTGCAGCTCAGGTGTTTTCCCTGAATCCCCTTTAATCAACCTCTCTTTGCTGTTCATATCAGGAGTTTCATACTGTGAGTGAGGCACAGGTTGCCCAGGGAGGCTGTGGCTGCCCCAACCCTGGCAGTGTTCACAGCCAGGTTGGCTAAAGCCTTGAGCAACCTGCTCTGGTGGGAGGTGTCCCTGCCCAGGGCAGGGGGTTGGGGCTGGATGATCTCTAAGCTCCATTCCAACCCCTGAACATTCTAGGATTCCATGACATCCACCTCTCTTTCACCAAAATCCAGGCTGCCTGCCCATATGGTGCCTCCTCAGTGGTGCAGTGACAGGTTGAGCTCTGAACCATGGAGCAATGGATCCACCCAGACAAGTGAGAGGCAAAGAAACTGCTGATTTACTGACACAGCGGAAAACTTCCCCACACTCTCAGCTTTTTAAGAAGCTATTATGTCCCAGCTGTACCTCAGACACCCTTCAGCTTCCTCAAAAAAATCTCAAAATAACCCTCTGCTCCAGACAGACACCCAAACGCTTGCACTCATGCTTGTGTCTCTACATCCAAAAGAGTTTGGCTTTTGCCATTAGCTTTTTGGGCTGTAAACCCCAGCAAGCAGCAGCATGAGAACACTGCTCTGCAGGCTAGACAGACAGACAGACAGACAGAGCCCACAGCCTGCGTGCCGGAATAACCCGCTGGGCCTTATCTCCATTGCAATATTACAAGCCTGGAGCCTGCAGAGTGTTTGCCCAAACACCCAGTTTCACTGTGCAGACAGGGGAAATGAGATCAGAGCTCTCATCACAACCACAACAGCAGCTCATTAGCCAAGGTTGCCCCCAGCCATGCAGCTCTGCCATGGTGCTGCGTTTTAGGAGCCGATGCCACTCATGCCGGTGGCACCTTGGTCACCATCAAAAGGACCAGGAGCTGCTGTGTGTTAACATTTCACTCTGGGCTTATCTGGAAGGGATTTCAACAGTAGAAAAGAAGCAGTGACCAGTTTCTGACGGTCTTCTATGGACTGCAGGTACTGCTGCTTGCCCTCTTTTGATCCATCCTTCTTCTTCAGGTAAGGCTCAATGGATTTGTACTGTGCATAGAAGTTACTCAAGTCCTAGGAGTCAAAAAGCAAAGAGGTCATGTTTATTAAGCTGAATTTCATAGAATATCCTGAGCTGGAAGAGATCCACAAGGATCATCACTCCAACTCTTGGCCCTACACCTCAATAATCCCACCATGAGCATTGTCCAAACACTCCTGGAGCTCTGTCAGCCTTGGGGCTGTGACCACTGCCCTGGGGAGCTGTTCAGTGCCCAAACACCTCTGGGGGAAGAACCTTTGCCTGATATAAAAGTGTGTCATGGGGTTGGAATGGAGCTTAGAGATCATCCAGCCCCAACCCCCTGCCCTGGGCAGGGACACCTCCCACCAGAGCAGGTTGCTCAAGGCTTGAGCCAACCTGGCTTTGAACCCTGCCAGGGTTGGGGCAGCCACAGCCTCCACTTAAACCTTTTCCAGTGCCCAACCACCCTCTGGGGAAGAACCTTCTCCTAATATCCACCTAAACCTTCCCTAACACAGCTTCATACCAAATTTATGCATGAGAGCTCAAAAACATGCCACTACTCCAACAGAAGGTGACATTTCCTACCTCAACCTGCCACATTCCTGCAAGCGAGGACAGATTTAGTCACAGCTGCAAAGCTCAGACCCACCCAAAACACACCAGCACGAGTAACACATGAAATGTGAGACCTGATCTTGCTGGCACCTCCCAACGTCATCCTTCCCACCCCACACTGCCTGGAACAGTGTCACCTGTGGTCACAAGCTGCCAGAGGCTGATACTCACCGGGACGAGGTCCTTCACCACATACATGTGGGGCAGAGGGTAGATTTTTGTGACCTTGTTCACATCAGTGTCAATTTTTTTGATACAGGCCAGGGTGTTCCCACCAGCAATGTTCATAGCACAGGAGCCACAGATGCCTGAGTGGGAGAGAAAAAGAGTAAAAAGTGTTAAATTTACTCTTTTATCCTACTTTTTGCCTCACACACACCTTTAGGCTCTCCTGAAGAAACTCTGCGTGACAAGAAAAACACCACAAGTTGCCATTGGGCCAAACATGTTGTTACTTAAATAAAGAACAAACAGAGTTGTTGCTTTCATTAAAGCCTAAACACATTTTCCCTGTGAAATTCCTTCCACAGCAGAAAACAAGTGGTTTGGACACCTCATTGCTTTTGCATCATTCATTAGTTTTACCCGTGACTTAGGGAGGGGAAAACATTCAGCTTTGCTCATGGGTTGGGAGCAAAGGTTGTATCGAGGTGAAGCAGCTAAAGCTAAGATTATAGCATGGGAAACAGGTCCATCCTCATCAGTTATAATCCCAGAATAGCTGGGGTTGGATGGGACCTCTGGGGATCATCCAGCCCAAGCCCCTGCCAAGGCAAGGTCACCGAGAGCAGGTGACACAGGAACACATCCAGGTGGGTTTGGAATGTCTCCAGAGGAGATTCCATGCCCTCCCTGTGTAGCTGTTCCAGTGCTCTGCCACCTCCATGGAAAGAAGTTCTTCTTCCTCATGTTAAGGTGGAACTTCTTGTGGTTTAGATTATGGTCACTGCTCCTCACCCTGTCACTGGGCACTATGGAACAGAGTCTGGCACATCCTCTGACACCCCTTGGAGATATTTATATGGACTGATGAGATCTCCTCTCAGTCTTCTCTGGATTACACAGGCCCAGCCTTGCAGTCTCTCCTCATAAGAGAGGAGACAAATGGTTCAAAGCATCCCTGCAGGTCAGGAACATCTCCCCAAATCCCTCAGCCAGGAGATCTTTCAGTGTCTGTGCAGCAGGGCAGAGCAGTGCCACAAGCTGCACTCCCAAAGGTGAGAGGAGACTCTCCAGCGCCAACAGCATATAAATAGCTTAACAAATAGATTAAATGACACCACTAATGATCTGCCAGTAATAAGAGGGATCAGCTGAAGGCCAGGAAAGGCCAAGGTTTACAAGGAAAACCACTGCAGAAGTGTCCCAGACACTTATGGGGTTGGCAGCTCTGGTGTCCAGCTCAGGCCACGGCCCAAAAATGTCATGTTAGAAACAAGATGAATGCTGGAAGGGCAAAACTCTCATTTCAGAGGATTTGACACATCTCAATGACATGAGTCAGAGCAATGTCCCTGACCAGCTCATCCACCTCATGCCTGGCCTGTCCCTCACTGCCAGATTCATCTGGCACTGGAACAAGATTATTCCTCCCACTGGAGAACTGTTACAAGTATTTTCCAGGCAGCTGGAGAGGGAAGCAGGACTGCAGGCACAGGAACACGTAGATGCAACAGGAATGTGTCATCAGGGATATGGCAGAAGAGGGGCAAGAGTGAACCAGCCCATCTTGAAAATCTGTCTTCTCCGAGGAAAGTATTCAGTGCAATGAATTCCAGCTCGGGCATAGTTCAGGCTATCTAAATATCAGACACTGAGAAGAAGGACTCTCTAAGGAGTTCCTCTACTTGCCATGCAGATTCCACAGGAAATGGCTGCGCTGGAGTGTGCTTTTCATTTCCATCCAAGTCCAAACATCTTTAGGCAGCAACTATCCTTAAATCTCTCATACCTCCAAACCCACCTCATTAAATCCAAAGTCATTCCACACAGGAATGTGTTTCACAACTATGTTGCCTTCTTGCATTTCCATAACTCAGCATCCCAACATGACCCATGAATTAGGAGGGTTTTTAATAGGGAAAGTCACCTGGACAGGGAACTTTGAGTGCAGTTACAGCCCTGCTGATTTGTACCTGCATGAGAACCACCCACAACGTCAAACCACCAGTTAGCCTTTTCCTCAATCAATCCCTGAGCTTAGTCAAAGGGCCAAAAAAAAGATTCCTGAAGCTATTCCTAGAAGTCCTAAGTACTCTTCCAGTTACATCCTGCCTTATTTCCACAGCAGCACTGAAACAGCCCCTAGAGCTCATTCCCATTCCACCTCTGCCCCCTCAATTTCACTGTTGGAATTTCTTCTTGGATCTCCCCACGCAGCCCAGCACCGGAGGGCAGCAAGATGAACCAGATTAGGAGACAAACTGGAACAACTGGGATTGTGCAAGGAAATATCAGAGCTGGCAGCTCAGTGTTGTGGGATTACACACTGTGAGGATGAGCTTGAACTTTAATACCTGATTCACTATTTTATACTCACAGATGGAAGAGAAGAGTGAGACCTGAACTCTTCTGGTGGTTACACATAAACTATCTGCAACAAAAACTATTCCAGGCTAGAAAATCCTTACCTTCCCTGCAGGACCTGCGAAAGGTCAGAGTAGAGTCCAATTCATTTTTAATCTTGATCAGAGCATCAAGCACCATAGGTCCACACCTAAAATAGGAACCAAACTCAGTTAACCTTGTACAACCCCCTCAACCTCAGGGCCTGAGCTCTGGCACCTCAACTGAGCAGCACCTAACAGGATTTTAATCTACTACAATGAATACA